AAAAAAAAAAAAAAAAAGAATGTCTGATTGCTTTCAGCCTTCATGGCTGCCACATTGGCCTTTCTAACTTATTTGCATCTTTATATAAAGTGAATTTCTTCATGACATCACCAAAGAAAATTAACAAAGTTCCAATAACTGACCCTAAAGCAATGCAGATCTACACAGTGACTGAAAAATAATTCAGAATAATCCTTTCAAAGAAATTCAGTGAACTATGAGAAAACACATAAACAACTAAATGAAACAGGAAAGCAATATCTGAACAAGGAGAGTTCAAAAAATAAATAACCATTAAAAAATACAAATTCTAGAACTGAAAAATACAATGTCTGAATTAAAAAATTTAATAAAGCACTTCAACAGCAGAAGAGTCAAGCAGAAGAATCAATGAACTCAAAGACATGTATTTTGAAATTTTCTAGTCAGAGGAGTGTTTGAAAGAATAAAGAAAGTCCATAACACTTATGGAACTCCACTAAGTGAAACAACATGCATTACAGAAGTACAAGAAGTAGGAGAGAGAGAGAAAGGGATAGAAAGTCTATCAAAAGAAATAATGGGGAGAGATATGGACATTCAGATTCATGATGCCCAAATATTCCCAAGTAGATTGAACACAAAAAGGTCAACACAAAAATGCATTGTAACTAAATTGTCAAAAGACAGACTTTTTAAAGTAACAGAAGAAAAGCAGTTTGTCACATACAAGGGAGTCTTCATAAGATTATTCGAATTTTTCTTAGCAGAATCCTTGCAGGTCTGGAGAAAGTGGAATGATAAATTCAAAATACTGAAAGAAAAAAAAACTGCCGACCAAGAATACTATACCCAATCAAGATTTTGGAAATGAAAGAGTAATAAAGATTTTGTCAAACAAATGAAAAATGAGGGGCTTCATCACCACTGGATCTGTCTTACAAGAAATACTAAAGGGAGTGCCTCAAGCAAAAATAAAAGAATACTAATTTTACAATATAAAACATAAAAATGTATAAAAGTAACTGGCAAAGGAAATATATAATCAAATTGAGAATTCTTTAATATTGTGATGGTGATGTATAAATCACTTTTAATTTTTCTATAAAAGTTAAAAATCAAATGTACTAAAATAATTGTAATTATACTAATCTATTAATAGTTACACAGTATAAAAATGTAAATTGTAATAGCAATAACCTCAAAGGAGGGGCAAAAGAATAATTTTTGAATGTATTCAAATTTAAGTTGCTACCGGTTTAAAATAGGATGCTGAAACTATAACATGTTTTATGTAAGTCTTATGGTAAACACAAAGAAAAAAACTGTAGTAAATACACAAAAGATTAAGAGGAAGAAATGAAAGCATACCACCACAAAAAAGTCATTAAATCACGAAAGATGACAGCAAGAGAGAAATAAACAAAGGAACTACAAAGCAGTCAAAAAACAATGAACAAAATGACAATACTTGCATACCTATCAATAATAACTTTAAATATAAATGGATTAAATGCTTCAATTTAAAGTAATCAAGTGACTGAATGGACAAAGAAACACACAAAACTAACCCAATTCACGCTGCCCATGAGAGTCTCACTTTAGCTTTAAAGACAAACACAGGCCAAAAGTGAAAGAAAGGGCAAAAATATTTTATGTAAATGGTAACCAAAAGAGAGCAGCACTGGTTATACTTATATTCAACAAAATAGACTTTAAGTCAGAAACTGTCACAAGAGAAAAAAAAAAGTTTATAATAATAAGCTGTCAGTTCACTAAGAAGACATAGCAATTGGCATATTTATGCA